CCATGCATCAAGTTGAACACACCTATACCGCACTGGCCATCACCCTGGGCATCCTGACACACTGGCCTTTCATGTCCTACCTATCAGTCCCGTGCTTTGCAAACCTCATTTCAAAACACATCTTGGAGGGGAGGTCTCATGTCCATTTTATTCGCAGGTCTCCAAGACATTCTGGCACTGCTGTCTTGACACACTGGTGCTCATTCTTCATGGCTTGTCCATTACCTGAAAGCTTTAAAAACTCAAATGCACCTACTCCTGGGAGGTGAATTCTATCGTTAGGTTTTCTAAAGCTGCTCTGATACTTCCAAGCTGCAGAGAACCTGAGAAGTACTGTTCTAGAACTTCATTCTGTGAGCTCAGGCTGTGAGCACCACCCAAGCAGAATCCAGGAACTGTGTGTTGCATGGGAGAAATGTGATAACATTGCACACAGAGGATGTTTTGTTATGAAGAAATCAGGGAGGCTGCACTCTATTGCTTATAAATATAATTTATTACCGGTTTAAAAATTTTTTCTTACATTTTGTACATGTTCACTGACAATAGATGCAGGCAATTTACAAACCAAGGGGACTGCAGGAAAAAGTGGGGAGAGGTAGCCGGGGAGAGAGAAGAGGACACTCGGAGCCGCAACATTCACCTCCACTGCCTGCACCCAGAGGACGCTCTTCCTCACCAGGGCTTTTCTAGAAAAGGAATTGCATAGAAGATACAGCAAGAGAGAACCCACATCCACAAAAAAAGTGTTCAGTATCTGAAAAGTCAAAGTTGTATTGTATTTAAAAAGCTAAAGTAAAGCACAAAACCTCAACCTGACAAGGCTGCTGGGGATTTTTCTCTGACAAATATTGGTGGTCTTCTTTATAAAGAGCAAAGAGGAAGATCACCAACTTGCCACAGTTCAACATTAAACTCAATGAACACAGACAATGTCTTGACTGCACACACGCTCACGTGCACGCGCACACACACACACACACACACACACACACACACACCATGGTGGTGATATTCCCTGCAGTTGGGCTAAATGCATTAGTCTGGAGGTGAGGCCTTCACTACCACACCCTCTAGGTAGAAGAAAGAAGGAAGGAGAAAATGCAAATCACACCTTCAATGGTTCTGATTGTTTTCCTCTTTCTTTGCCAAGGCCTGGATGGTATACATGTGAATCTGTTCCCCTCCATTTACAAGTGTTGAGATTAAGAATACAAAAGGTAAAAGGCATTTCTCCCTGGCTGTGGTTTTCTTGCTTCTGTCTATCATTCTACAGCAGGTTGGTCTTATGGTCCAGAACAAGCACAGGGTGTGATTCTCAGATGTTTCCTCTTGATGAAGCTGAGGAGCCCAAGGTACATCAAAACTTCAGATGATCTACCTTGGATTTCCCTTGAAACTCAGATCTGGAAGGCGGCTCCATCTCAGGTCTGTGACAGCAGGCTCTATAACAGGTCTGGTAGGGCCAGGTCCAGCAGGCCTTGGGTATTTAAGGATGGCATGCAGAAGCTAGGCATATTAGTTAGAGACCCTGAGCTGCTACAGGCTTCAGCACTTTATCATTTTGCTGAGGCAAAGCCTGAAATGGCAGAGTAAGAGGCTGGTATAGTATAGCAAATAATTTGGGGAGACAGCAGACTATATCTCTGGGCAGGGCCCTTGTTTTCTTCTCACCAGCTAGTGGGCCAGAACTCTTGAAGACATTCTGTAGGAATTCCCAACTTATGACTCCAGAAGCTCTCTGGCCAGATTTCTTCAGTATGCAAGAGTCTAAATATGTAAGGGGCTGGGAAAGAGCCTCTCATAATGGCTTGATTTTGTGTATTTATCAATTTGTGGGGTTTTGTTGTGATGTGGCCCCCTCAGCCATGCTAAAGTCTGGGGGCAGACTTTACATTTAGTTGAATGAGCCCATTAAGATTCCCCACAGATCAATACTGGGAGATGACAGGCCCAGCAGAAACCTGGCAGCAGTGAACTCTTCTGAGGGTTGATCTGTGAAATACAATTTCAAAAATGGGAGCACCACAGACTGGGGGCACCATAAGACCAAAGGGTGAAATTTGAGAAAAACCACCAGGGAAGACCCAAGGCCATGTCCCTACTTTGCAAAGCGAGCCACTTTTCAAGCAGGGAAACTGGACACATTTCCTATTCCATTTGTCTTACTTGAGCAGCTTGGACACAGGCTTAAAACAGCACTGGAGGCAAAGTATTTCTCCCCCTTAAGACTTACTCCATTAATAAAAACCGGTTGAGAGGCAAGAGAAATCTATCAAAGTGATCATTACAGCCAGAGATTATACAAATAGCTTTCTCAGGGTAGAGAAACAGCACTTTACTGCACAGAGGCAACATTCTAAGGATTTCCGTCAATATTAGCTCAGCAAGGTTAAAAAAATACAAAAACAAAAGTGTAGTACTTGGTCTTATGAGGCACTCTAAAGGTAAAAAAATTGTTTTATTAACGAGATAATAATAAAAATATTGTCCTTATTCAATCTATAAAATCTAATGCTTATTGACTATAATCATCTTCACAAGTAATTGGTGTTGAGCAATGACATTCCGATTCACAAAAGCTCCTCTGTTCTCAAAGAATATGAAGAAAACCCAATTTCTTTTCAGCAGTTTCCATGGTCATCCTTTCTCTCGTTGGCCTTGGAATTGACTGAGGTCTCTCTGTAAAACTGATAACTAGTCCCAGCAGCTGCTTGGCAAAAGCTTAAACTCACATTCAACTTGAGACATGCAGTGTACGAATGAGTTCATGAAATGCGAGACTCACAATGGCATGGGCAACTTAATGAAAATTGCTAAGGATAAGAGTATTGGGATAAATATATTCCTGTGTCTTTTTGTCAGAAAGGTCTTGTTCACTCTACAGGTATTAACTCCCTTTGTCACACAATTTAGTGTCTATATTAAACTCAGGATAAATTGAGTTATCTACCACTAGATGGCATCCAGCACAAGTGATCGGTTTTCCCACACAAATGAAGTTAAGTCCATCTTGCCATATAGTATAGAATTCCTAGGCAGGGAAGGCAGAGTATAGACAGGATGGATGATGAAACAGCTCACTCTTACATGAGCAGTTAAGTCTGGACCTTCTAAGTTTGAGGGAAACCTATCAGCTTTATTTTACTTCCAAGGGAAGAAAAATAAAAACAACCAGTATTGATAGTGAGAATAAATAAAAGTAAATTAATTATATGTTTGGAATTTGCAGTCACTTATTGGGGAACACAACAAGATTCTAAATGAGTCTTCACTTACATGGAATCTTTCTGATGCTGAGATATTGAACTGAAATTTGAGCATCCGACTTGAGCCTTAAAGGCTTCAATGGCTTTATAATGCAGTTTCTGTCATGGCCAATGTTTTTGTGTTGATGACTACTGTTTTTTTTTTGCAAAAGCTTTGTGATCAATTTATAAATTTGTATAGCTAAAAATTTTCTCCCATCTATTTTTACTGGGAATAGAAGTTCCTTTGAACATCCTTCACATTTCTAATTCTTGATTTCCATAGTTGAAGTCCCCTCACACCAGTAAAGATAGGCAAAACTGAGAAGTTATTTCAAGATACAGGCGTGGATAAGAGTTCTTTTCTCCTCACCATAAGTATTTTAACATCTGATTTTTAAAAAAAAAATATATGTGGAACACACCTTTATTAGCTTTTGATCAAATATCCATAGGTGCAACTATTATCCAGTAAATTTGCATTCTTTACCTGTCATGATAAGTGGAACTTACTTGTATATATGGTACAGAGGGAAACCTGAGAGACCGAATACAGAATATATGCCTGAAGAGGAAATGGCATGAAAGAAAAGGATCCACATCAACATACTAATAGTTTCTCACCAATGAGGATGAAGGTGACTAAGACTAGCAGAGGGTCATCAAAATAGAAGAAATATATGTGGAAAGATGGGGGAAAAGACATACAATGATGTCCACTTCAATTCCAGTCAGCACAGTGGGTACCACCAGTCCACAGCTGTCTGCTGAAGGTGATAGTTTACATACACGGTGCTTTCTCAGTTTTGGTTTGACTATTGGACTGTTGACTTTTTATTTCCACCTGGTGAATGAAGTAAGTTCCTGTGTTAAGACAAACACTCTGATGATCCAAGAAATATCATAGTTTATACAAAATAGTTTGTTAATTTTTTTTCAGGTTAATTTTTTTAATTTAACATTTTTTGATCAAGACAATAATAGCATATGATTTGCAACTAGTCAGGAAGGCAAATGGTCCCAAGAGAGAATAAGAAAGTGATGATGGAGCACTCTCTCTTAGAGAACTGTGTCAATGCAGGACATAAAGACAAGGCTTGAAAACATACAAACACCTTACAGGTTAGAGTCCTTGTTGTTCAAGTTGGAACTATCTGAAAAGCATAATGTCGCCTAGGTCAACCAATTAACCGACTCTCTCTATGACACAGGCCAGAGTCCATTGTGGTCTTCTACTGACCAGTGAGCCTGGAGGCATCCCAGTTGAAGTCCAGCTTTTTCGAACCTTGTCTCCAAACCCACCTTTTAATTTCACAAGTGAGGAAAGTGAGGTCTAGTGAGGTTAAATGATTTTCCCAAGTTACCACAGCTAGACCCAGATAAGCAGGTATACTGATATCCAGTAGATTGTTCCTCTAGTCCCATAATTTCTAAGATAGAGAATCCATGTGGGACCATATGACAACTCCATTAAAAGACCTTTAGTAGATAGCACTTCTCACGATAAGACTCAGAAGAGAAAGACCTTGCCTGAGCATGGTCAAAGAGCACTACAAAGCCTGGAAGCATTTTCTACATTCCGGGAGCAGAATAATGGGAGAAGAACAAAAGATCAAGGAAATAATGCCTGTTGGATTAAATTGATGACCACACCTACCTTACTGTCTGAGAAGATGAGGCCGGTCTAGGCAATACCTACGTACCCACAGCACTGCTAACAACAAAAAAAAATTCTTTAACTAGATACTTGTAAATATTCAGTAATTATATTAATGATAATAATATACCATAAAAAAACACTTTGAACTGCAAATTACAAACACATATGTCATGAAGGAATGCTTGCTTGTGTGGTCGAATATGAATCTGTTTTCCCTGCAATACTATAGCTTATTCCCAGAGGGCTCCAGATGGGTACCCTCACGGGCTACATAATCTTAGTCACTTCCTTTACACTTAGATTCTCCACTTCCCTGATACAAACAGTAACACTGACTGGTTCTACAAGTTCTAGAAACAGAACAGCAATAGGAGGGTTATCTGAGACATTAGATGCACACAATTTGTAGCAAAAGTCTGTGATTCTCTGTAAATTACTAATGAGAAATAGACACAACAAACCGTCCACAGCTTCAACTTCAAACGACTTAAACAAAAATAGAACGAGCCATGGACAGTGTCTGCATCCCTGTCCAATTTGATGTAAACAACGTTTGTAGAAATTGGGTCTGTTAAGAAAGTTTATCCATATATCTGGATAACGATAAAAGCGTTTCCTAGGAAACTGTAAGATCCTGTACCACACAGCATACAGCCCAACTAAGAGGAAAATTAGAGTGATTTTTAAAGTCAAGATACAAATTTACACAATTGTTCCTAAATCTTGTGGTGATGTCCGAGTGAAGTGGGCTTGTATATTGGTAGTTGTTTTGTTTTCTTTCTCTCTCCCGCTGCAATCTCGCTTGTGAACTCGTGGTCTGATCTGAATTTCCTCCTCAGCTTGATCCTCTGGATGCCGCAGGCTCTGGGCATCCTCATCCTTCCTTTACCATTCCAGCTCAGGTCAATACTGTCCGTCTGCTGCTAAGGACACGACTGTTTCATGTCTTCCCATTTCTTCCAAGACAGCTGCCAGCATGCTCAGGTTTCCATCTGGGAAGTTCTGTGCTTCCCAAAGATCCAGGATCACACCAGTTGGGCTTGATTTGGTAGCAAAGTAATTCAAGTACCTACAAGTGGGGATGGAAAAATGTGCTTAAAGGTATGTTTTTAGTTTTATTTTTTTCTTTTCAGTTTTCACTGAAACTTTATCTTTGCAACTATCTTTTTAAAATATTCATCTATTATTATTTTTACATGAAAAACTGGGATGTAGGTAAGAGGTGGGGGTGTGTGAGAGGATTTACAAGAGAAAGAGTGGGGAGCTGAACAAGCAGATCTACTGAAATCCACTGCTGAAGGGAGCAGCAGGTGGGACAGGAGAGGTCTGCTGCTCCATATGGGCTACCTACCTGGCCTGGGATCGAACTCAGGTCTTCACAGTGTTAGCAGTGAGATTTTACCCCCAGGCTACCAGGGAGGCCCTCCCCAACCCTTTTTAAGGATCCTGGCACCACTTGAGAAATGGTGGTGTCTGCTACAGTGAGCCATCCTAAATATTTAGCCCTTACATTATTAGATCTGTTCCAGACAGGAGATGTGATGTTAACTTTGTTATCCTCAACCCTGAGTAAGAAAATTTAAGAGACAAGATGTCTGTAGGTCAAATCCTAAATTGGAAATTCAGAGACTTATGCTTTCTCTACTGGCCAGGCTCTGATCATCTCTGACAGGGCAAGCCCTGAGCTTTTCTGGGTAGCAACAGCAAAATCCTAAGAGGAAGGGGCTGTCAAGGTCTCTTTATAACTTAGTATCAATCTTGTTTAGCATATTAGTCATCCAGGGAACATTAATTTTTATTCAGTAGATGAAGAATAGTGAGGAAGAATAACTTGAAGGAATGGATGTGTTATTTAGGGGATTAAGCCTATCAGCTTTGCACAGTGAATCAGAAAACTTGATACAACTGTCAGCAGAGTAAAGGCTGATCTATCAACAATGTGTTGATAAATACAAAGAAGGTGAAAGACACAAAGAGGCTTAATATAGGTCTGCAAATGAAAAGTAAATAGAAGTACGGCTGCAAAAGTAAAAGGACTTCTATTTAAAATAGTTATCATCCCTACAGCCGGGCCACACCACCTGTCCAGGTTCAGCTTATGGGCCAACATCCTCCAGTCGTGACCTCTAGTCTGCGGGGCATCCAGGCTGCTACAGAGCTTCTGCCGGATGGGGGGAGGGATGCTGAAAGCACTGGGGCCTGTCATAGTGGTGATGGTGCTTGCTGGGTCCAGCAGAGGCAAATCAACGCCAGTAGGTTCCTGTAGTTGGGGTACAAGAACAGCAAAGCATTATTTCTACAGTAGAAGCAATCCCAACTGAACCAACCTACATATGCCCTGGCTGAACAGACAGAGGCAAAGACTCACTCTTACATCTCCTCCATATGACTGGCTGCTTCTAGCTATGGGCTGTGATTCATCGAGTGTAACCAGGCTGAGAGGAAGAGACACATTCCGAGCCAACTTTGCATAGTCTTGGATTGATGGGCCTCTGGATAGGCCCAGGCCAGGGGAAAAGCTCTCTTGTGATACAATGGCTGCTATCTTACAGGGTCTCCAGGAAACCCTGGAGAGAAAAGGAATGTCACTGTTCCTAAACACTGATGGTGAACAGATCTGAGATGAAAAGGACAATGCTTCAGAGCTTCTAGAAACCATCTGACCCTGAGGGGACTATGCTGGGCAAAGGCCTGAGTAAATGTTCCCTCCAACCTCTGCAGAAGGTAGCTGGGTTCTACTTTCGTTGAAATGAAAGATAGCTCTCCTCTAAATGATATCAAATTAAGACTAATTTTTTTTTAAAAAAGAAAATGGTGAACACAGTATATTGCCTCAGGGCAAGCTGCTAACATCATCCCTCAATTGCTGTTCACCCGTATTTTGTTGTCGTTGTTAAATCTAATTTTAGTAGAGAAAAGCATAAATTGGCTCTTAAAATAGTTTCAGCTCATAAAACAGCACAAATGCAAAATCTGAATTTCATCTGCAGGAGAAATTCTAATCATTTTCTGATCACTTCTGTTGGCTGGAAACGCAAAAGCAAATGTTGCCTGGGAACTATTAAAGGAATACAAGAATATCTAGTTAATCTACTTTAAATGTCACCTCTCTATCTGTCTCTCTCTCTTAAAAGCAGGTAATTTCTTGGTGTACATAATTAGTTGCTAGAGGATAAACTAGCAACACACAGTTTCAGCCTTCATGACACCTCCAGCACCTTGCAGAGCGCTCAGTTCTCCCTAGCTGCAGCATGATAGCTCAGAGCACCCCAAACCTTGTGGCTCCTGCACATTGTGACTGTTAGGGTCTCTGCTTCAGACTGACAGCACTTTCCATATCTGGGGATCAGCAGTCAATACTTACTGCTAGGCTGTGTATGACCCTCCCCGCACAGGGCCCGGGGCGGGGGGGAGGGCGTAGAGCAGAGTATTTTGCCATGGTACACACTGTGTCATCGCCTGTGATCACTGGATTTGGCCCAAAGCTTGGCAAACTTAGATGCCAAGGATTTCCTGGGTGGGCTCCTTTGTATTGGTTCCAGCACGTATCAGGATTAAAAAGGTGGTGGCAGGAAACACAGATGTGACAAATGGAAGCTGGGGTCTCGGAATGAGTGCGCCACCCATGATATCCCCCCATCGGGCACAGCTCTCTTTCCAGCGGACCCAGAGGAGAAAGTATCTGACTCAAGCTTAGGGGACTAAGACAAAAGAGAAAGGGTGATGGCAGGGCTGTGTGTCGTATTCACAGGCAGGTTTCTGCTAGACTCCATCTGAACCTATGTGCCCAATACTTCCACTGGCTAAGACACATGCAGGCAAGGGGTACAGGGAAGTGGGCAAAGGGTTGGAGCTGAAGAGAAGTTAGTCTGGATTTCCGCAATTTAGGGCTATCACCCGTTTTGCAACCCAGCTTGCTGCTGCTGCTGTTTTTCTTTTGAAAGATTTATTTATTGGGTCTTCCCTGGTGGCACAGTGGGTTAAAGTGCAGCATTGCAAACTAGCCACAGTCACTTCAGTACAAGTTCGATCCCCACCCTGGAGGTGATCCACACGGCCAGCAGACCTCTCCTGTCTCACCTGCTGCTCCCCTTGGCAGTGGACTTCGTCAATCTGCCTGTTATGTCCCCATTCTGTCTCTGGTGAATCCTCTCACTCTCTGCACCTCTAGCCTGTACTCCAGTTCTCCAGGGATCGAGCTCCTGCTGCAGTGACTGTAGATACCTTCAGAGTACCGTGTACTTATGCCACTAAGGAGACCCCCTGCTTGTTTCTTGTATGCACAATAACTATAGGACCTAGAAGGAAACTTGTCACGCCCCCAAACACAAGCCCCTCCTGACTATCCTCAGCCTACAACGGAGGTAAAGCCTACAGGGATTATTTACTTTACTCCTGTCCCCAGAGATCCTTCAAGCTGACAGCCACGGTTGCTCCCTGCTGCTTCCTGTGCTGTGTCTCTGGGGCCAGACCAATCTTCCTAGAGTGCTACACTGCTTTTTCTCCTTTTCGCTTTCTAACCAGGAAGCTTTAAAATTTAGCTCCACCGCAGGGAGTCCCAACTCCCAATCAGGCCATGAGAGGTATTTGCACATTCACTCTGGTGTGAGGCTTCAGAGCTGAGGGTGTGCTTCCTGAGGCCTGCCAGAAAGAGAGTACTCACCCATGGTCTCCCACCACCGCCAATTCTCACCACTTAGACTCCTCAGACTGGAGCACTCCCTCTTCCTAATAACAGGATGTGTCCCCTAGTCCTGCCCTTTCCCCATCCTCTGTGTAGGGCAAACCCCTCACTGTCAGGACAAAGGCACCTCCCACAGCTCTTTCCATAAGTCCGGCATTCCTCACTCCCTGCTAAGCCCGGCACTCCTCGCTCCCTGCTATCTGCATGGGGAGCAGTGCTAGCTGTGCATCAATTCCCTTGATTCTCAAGTTTCCTGGAAGTGAGGACATTTTTGTCACCCTCAGTCCCCAGAGGCACCCGGCACAGTGTCCTGGGTCAAGAGCCACTCAGCTCATACTTGTCAGGACGAGAGAACATAATGTTCCCTGTGCAGAAAGAGGACAGCCTAGCTCCTTACAGAGGCCCGCCCGCAGTAGATGAGGCTGAGGCTCTGATGGCAGGTCTTCCTGCTCTATCCTGAGAGAAAAAACTCAGGAGAAGGCAGGCCTGGCTCTCAGGAAGCTCTGCTCACATATCCATGTTGCCCCCTTTCCCTGGTGAAAAAATCTCCATGTGGGGCCTTCAAATCCTGGGTTTCCAGCCTGGGCTCTTATGCCCACTTATTTCTGTGGATGACACAAAAGCAATAAAGAATAATTTCTTCTCTTTTATCAGATAACTGACAAGGGCCTTGGGGTAAAACAAAAATCCATCCATACATTTACACTTAAGTGTCATCCAGTAATCTCAGTGGCTATTAACTCTTCCTTTACTTCCAGGTAAAAGTAGAGAATGCTTATTATGATAATTGTTTATAATATTGGCACCATCTGTCTTTGATGTTGATTCCTTTAGTTAAACATATGATTTTTCAACATTCACTGAACAGCTGCTGTGGAAGATGGCACACATTTTTAGAACTCACAGCAGAAGCAACTTTCCATTCCCACATCCTGACTCTTCCTGAAGTTGGAAAATCTAGATTTTGCTGACCATCATTAGGTTTTTGAAAAACAGAAGAGGGCCCTCCCAGGTGGTACAATGGGTTAAAGCACAGCATTGTGAAGTTATCTGCAGCCACAGCAGCACAGGTTTGATCGTGGGCAGGGAGATGACCCACATGACACAGCAGACCTCTCCTGTTTCTCTTGCTACTCCCCTCAGCAGTGTGCTTCCTGTTCTGCTTCCTACTCTGCCTCTGGTGAACCCTCTCACACCCCCTCCCCCGGCACCTCTGGCCTGTACACAGTTCTTGTGTGCATAAATAAACAAATCTTTAAAAAATACACAAGTGGTAAATAGGTGGGACAGCTGTGACATAGGGAAGGACTTTGTACATTTTTAATATTATTTAACTTGTATATGCAAAAGTGCTGCGTATTATTATGTAAGAGGTTTCTAGCAAATACAAGAAATTTATAATAACAGTTATTACGTGGAAATCTACTATTAAAAGAAACAATGAATACTCTTCCCTGAAATTCTACTTTTTGAGCGTTCAAAGCTATGAATGAAAGCAACGGTGTGATAAACGTGAAGATGTAATCCGTTTTCTTTCTTCTTTTTTAAAGATTTATTTATTTATGCATACAGAACAGGGGTATAGGCCAGAGGTGCAGGGGAGGTGTAAGGATTCAGCAGAGAGGTGGGGAGCAGAATAGGCAGGTCCATAAAGTGTCTGCTGGGCCATGTGTATCACCTCCGGGGCATCACCTCCAGGACCGGGATTGAACTCACACAGACAGGCCGTGGCCAGCTTTGCAGTGCTGTGCTTTAACCTGTGGTGCCACCAGGGAGGGCCTATAAACTGCTTTTTTTCTCTGGAAGTTGATTTTTATTTAATTAGACTTATTTCTCACTCATTTATTTTATATTTGCTGAGCTAGGTTTTCTTTATTACTCTGATTCTGACAGAAAGGAATCGAAAGTTTAGCTGATGGTGGATGCCACAGATGTAGACACAGGTTTATTCACTCATTTATACTCGCTGCAGCCAGGGAGCAGGGCCTGCTGTCACGTCAGCTGGCGCAGGTAGAAGCTAAGTCACTGTCCCTGCTCCCATTGAGCTACTTGGGAATTTCCTACAGAAGTTCTTTTTTTATAGCTCAAACTAAACAGAAGTGCTGGAGGGCCTCTTTAAAGGCCTTTTTCTTATCTAGATAGCTTTTTTCTTGGTGGTGCTTGGGCGTTTCCCTATTATAGTGCTCCACAAAACCTCCATAAAAAAACAAAAGAAAGAAAAACTTTATCTTTGTTTATATCTGACACTCATTCACGTCCATACTCTTAATCACCTAGACATGTTCATTCCTAAACTGTATCTCTGTGAGGCTAAACTTTGTCTCTAGTAAAGGAGTTTCCGGCTAAAGCATCCAGGAAAAATTGGTCCACGCTTGACAAAACAGGTCTGTGTCAAGCATAGCTTGCCTTCCTGGAGGGCAACAGGATGCAAGCCGAGGTGGGGGCCAAGGGCCTGCGGCTGCCAGGGAGCACCTTCATGCTGGCTGTTGGGTGACTACACGGGAGCACATTCCCAGAAGTGAGCTCATTCTTAGGTGACTGGATGTTGAAACAGACTCCCTAGTTTGCCCTTCACCTTGCCAGATGCTCTTGGGAGAAGCCCTAGTCAGAAATAGACACCAGGGAAAGAACCTTGAATTGCTATGGTTTTTCAGCTAGGGGACTTCTGGGGAGGATCTGGGTCTCAGGGCATTGGGAGAGCCATGAGGTTGTCACTCAGAGCCTGGCTCCTCAGCTTTAGTACACAAACCACACCCAGCAACATGGGCTGTAGGCCTCAGCATTCAAATGCTAACAACTGTGGAAGTCAGTGACCCTGAAGTAAAAGCAGCAGAGTGTCCCTTAATCCCCAAAGTCAGCTGACTCTGGTCACTGCTACCCCCCACCAGGTTAAATGTGCTTGTCTGTCACATATGGGCAAAGGCCCCACAGAAATGAAGGATTAGCCACTCCGAGTTGACTGCACCAAGTTTCAAAAGAAATCATCTTTCCTCGAGGTTGGCACAAGAAAGCAAGTGCTTAAATCGTGATCAGGCTATGCAAAACTGCCTTTTCTTGGTGCAGGGGTGGCGGGCAGGCAGTGGGGAGTGCTGAACAGCTCTTTCATTTGTGGCTGCATCTGATCCACCTTTTCATTGCACAGCAAACGTTCATGGTGCACAGAAAGCAAGCATCAAAGGCACAGACCTCCTCACCCCCCTCCAAAATTCTGAAGCCTTTGTTGTCACTGGAGCTGGGTGGTTATTGAACTTTGCAGACCTGCTGGGCCTGGAAAGTGAAAACACCCTCCAGAGCCAGCAGGGGAGGTTCCCTGTGCCTGGGAGATAGGGCCTGCGCATTGCGGGGCCAGGCGGTTGCCATGGCGCCCTGACACCGAGATCATTCCTTATGAATGTCACTGGGGTCTGTGACTAAAGTTGTTTATGAGTCAAAAGTCTCATGACACTACAGGAGGAAACGATGACCGCACTTGGCGGGCTGTGGGAAACAGTTCGGAGGGTGGTGGAAACTGACATGCTTGTCCCCCTCAGTTTGCCAAGGAAGACAATCTTTACACACAACATGTGGTGTGAGAAGAGCAGAACAGGAATGCACTGACTTTGCACGAGGCAGCAAGAGGGAAGTGTCTTCTAAATCACCCCGTCCTGACGGCTGTAGCTTTAAAAAACGACAATCCTGTGCTTTGTGGCCCAGCAAGTAGCACAAAGCGGCATGTGGCTGAGGCCCTGGAAGAGGCTGCGGCCTGGAAGAGGCTGCCTTCTGACCATAACGTCATTCTTTTTCCTTTGTTCCTCCAGAGTGAGGGTTTCCACTGTTCAAACTCCAGCACTGCCCCCCACTCCCCCCATACAGAGAAATTTTAAATAGTGATCACAGTGGTGTCTGCGGTGTGGCCATGTAAAATGCCCCACAGGGTGAATGAGAGCTCTGCAAAGAAAGACACTGTGATGGCCACTCAGATTTTACTTCTATTTCTGTAACATTTTTATGACTCTGGGAAAAGGGTGTCTCTATATTTGGGGAAGAATGCATGAGAGAAAAGAAATGGAAAGAGTTCTCCTTTCAACATGGAGAACAAAGGCAAAAGTCTAGAGAAAAAGTATAAGTGTGGAAGAGTGCAGACTCATCTTCCCTCATCAACTGCCTCAGTGTCACAGGGCCAGAGGCAGGGGCAAAGGTGGGCGCTCCCTGAGGAAGGAAGTGGAACAGGAGGCTAAGGGAGTGTGCAGGGAACTTGGCTCCCCAAGAGACCCTTTGGGAAAGGTGTGCTGCTGAAGTCACACTTGTCCTTGGAATTCAGAGCTTTTGTAAAAAGTTACGTGGTCCTTAAGTTCACGTCATAAAACAACTAAGACTCGTTTTTCAAAAAGGATTTCCTATTATGTTCTTTATGGATCTAGCTCCCTCTGTATTCAATAAAAAGATTTTTCTATTAAGAAATCGGCCCCGGGAAAACTCTTCAGGATTTCCCATGTGGCCTATCTGCTGGAGCCCACTTTTTTTTCTCCCTCCCGAGGTCACGATCTGCCCTGTTTTCTGAGCCAGACAAGTGCTTCTTACCTCAGACACAGTGCAGTTTAGCTGGAAGATCTGCCCCTCGCCTTCCACCTGCCGCACACACAGTTTGCAAACCAGCTCCACTGTGTTCAGGCTAAATCTTTCCAGGGTGAATGTGCAGTGGAGGTTTCGTTGCGATCCACTCCAGACATGGTAAAAAGGGATTTCCTACAGGAAATAAAAGTGTCAGCCACCCAGAAGGGCCCAATGGTAAAAGCAACTCTCAGATACTGCACTGCTGAAGACTCTTCTCAGCACTGCACACAGCACCCATTTCATCCTCACTGCAGGTCTATGCACAGTATAGCCAACCTCCTTTTCAGATAAAAATGGGACAAACATCAAGTCCCAGAAAATTTAAATAAGTCACCAAAAGTCTGAGCGAGTTGGGAGTTAAACTTAGGGAGTCAGCTACCACATCTGCCTCATCCATCTGCCATTTGTGTCTCATTTATAGAAATACAGACACTGTAAATGATTTTTGTTTCATCTAGAACAAACCCACCCTCAAATAAAACCCATACACTCCAGTCATGCCCATTAAAAGGAATCCCAGCCCTCCCTTGTGGCGCAGTGGGTTAAAGCACAGCACTGAGAAGCTTAAGCCACTTCCGCATGAGTTCGATTCCCGCCTGCCCCAGAGGTGACCACATGGTGTGGCAGACCTCTCCTGACCTGCCCACTGCTCCCCTCAGCAGTGTACTTAATAGATCTGCCTGTTCTGTTCCCCCCTCTGTCTCTGGTAAAGCCTCTCGCCGCCCCTGAGCCTCTGGCCTGTACCCCAGTTCTGTATGCACAAATAAATAAATCTTTAAAAAAAAAAAGGAATCCCTTCCCTTATAGTCTGGAAAAAAATCAAAGCACAGGACAGGAAAGCCGGACTCACTACAGCTGAAAACCGCACACGAGATCAACAGCCACAGGAAAGTCCTTGGCCTAAAAAGCACCGATCTTCGATCACAGATGCTCTCATAGTCTAGAACTCTTTATAGAGAGCCCATCCTAGAATCTCTTTTCAATACAGGAAACACAACATTAATATTTTTAAAAAGGTATAGTGTGGCACCTAGGAACAAAGAATTCAGCACAGATTGGAGTTCACTCTCCTGGTTCACATGGTGAATTTGGACAAGTTACTTAGTCTTCTTCAAATGTCTTTTCTGTGAAACACTAAACAAGATGACCAAAGTCGTAAGCCTGCTGAAGTTGGAGGCGATGAACCACAGTGCATATGTCGTGTATGGGGGATGGGAAGAACCCAGCCAGGGTTAGCTTGACCTAATGTCAGATTGTCATTATTATAGAATAATCCATATGATGCTATAAAGGAAACTGCCATTAAATGAAGATTCGTGGACTTTTATGGCAGTAAAATGAGAAGGAAAAAAGCAAACAAAGAAATTTAGTAAGAAAATCAAAAGTCTGATATTTCAAACAAGTGCTGAATGACATAGGAGACCTTGACACTGAGTAATGTGCATGTATACATGAGCACAGGATGGGAGCTGGAAACTCTTCCCTTTAACCTTCCACTGTGTTCACTGACTTGCCAGAAGATCATAGCCAGTTCACTGCAGTGCTGGTGTGAGACTGGAGAGCCCATCACAGTGACTCCTGTGAGCGCAAGCTGATCTATGGGTGGGAAGGGGACCTCTTTGCTTTTCCCACAGATACATACAATGACACTGGGGACCTGTAATTTTATGCTTGCATTTAATAAAATTCTGACCAGATTTTATTTTTGCATACCATTTCCATATCCAAACTGGAGTTTTCTAAGTTTTCAAAGTAAAAGTACTTTTTTTGGCATGCTGAAAGCCTGATTTGGATCACATGGGGTACCAGTGTTTTTTCCCTATGAATGCAGGCAAGGTTGTGTGTATGTTTTTTTTTTTTTCCTTAATCAATTTAATATTAACATTTGTTCCGAGAAAAAAATGGAAGGATGTATGTTGAGGTCTTAGGTACTAAAAACACAACAATAATGTTCCTTCAAATATGTCTAGAATATTTTTTAAAACTTCTAATAGACCTAGATAATTTTGGAGAAACAAGTTCTGATGTAGGATTCACTTCAAGGAAAGGAGTATCTTATGCCTAAATAACTGCTGTCCTTTTCTTGGTGCTGTCTTCAAGTTTTAGCTCAGATTGGGAATCTTACCTGATATTTAGCCAGCAATTTACTCTTCCAGTGGGCATGGGCGATATCGTGAATGGACAGGCGCAGGTTGTGGGTGCTGCCTTTGAAATGAAGAGCCTTTGGTTCTTCTAGGAGCTGTCCTCCCATCTGTCGCTCAAGCTGCAAGACTTCCTACAATAACATGACAGAACCCAACAGCAAATTACTGAACCACATCCTTTCCATCAGCTCATCAAAAAAGAATGTTTTGTTTTTTCTTTTTTTTTTCTTTTTACTGTACTTCCCACGTCTCATCTAACTTGTACATCGCTGACTTTACAACTTTTGGACACTGGAGACTTTGACTAAATCCCTACCGAGTTGTGAGTGACTGGGACCTATGGACTATCCAAACCATCTCAGCAATAACTGATCCAACTGTTGATATTCCCAACTGATAAACAAAAGACCCCTTTATGAACATACAGGAAAGTAAAAGAGTGCAAAGTGGGAAGAACCCCAAATGAAAGAAGTTTGGTAAAAGACAAACCGAAAAGTGAATGTTGGCCCTCCCTGGTGGCGCAATGGGTCAGGACACAGCACTGCAAGTGAGCCTTAACAACTTCAGTATGAGTTCAATCCCCGCCCTGGAGGTGATCCACATGGCACAGCAGACCTCTCCTGACCGGCCCGCTGCTCCCCTCAGCAGCATACTTTGTCAATCTGCCTGTTCTGTTATTCACTCTGTCTCTGGTGAATCCTCTCACTGCCCCTGGACCTCTGGTCTGTACCCCAGTTCTTTATGTATAAATACATAAATCTTTAAAAATTAATTAAATTAAATTTAATTTAAAAAATAGAAAGGAATGTGAATGTGAATGTGTTTTGGGCATTCTTTTTTACTCTTTTTCCTAACCCTAACCCTAGCCCAAACCCTATTTGGGCATTCTTTTCAATCTTTGGTATATTCTTTCACTACAAACTGAGGTTTTTGCTTAAAATGTTTCCTTTCATAATTATCAAAATATATTTAAATTATGCTCATGACATATATGTCCTACTAGAGGAAAAGGTACTGATGCAGATTGAGCAGGGTTTCTCAACAAGTACTGAACAAAATTCATATTAAGTTTGAAAAAGAGCACCTCATTCTCAAGTACTTGGGCTGACTAAAAAATATGCCATGAAATTTTATATTATAAAGATGTAATATGAAGACAAATTCTATATATTCATTCCACAGGCTGGTTAATGAATGTTAATGAAGCATTTCCAACCACAGCTGCCATTATACAAACAGCAGAAAAAATGTTGTCGGTGAACAAAATAGTCTGGGTCTCCTTTATTGTGTGATTTTCTTCTTTGGGGAGACTTCAGCTAAAGCAGAAAGTGCAGTGAGCATCTTCCCGGTGCCTAACAGAGGTGGGTCACAAAGGAAAACTCTGCGCAGGAATCAGACTGACTTGCACCTAAAAATATACCCACTTTGCATTTTCTGAATTAATTCTAACCCACACATATACAGTCCAGTAAGTGAAGCATTTACTAACACCTTTGATTAGATGGAAGCAGCTCTTTTCAAACTGCTTCTTTGCTGCTGCTTAATATTCATCATCTCTGAGTCAGACTGCTATTTTCAACGAAAGTGGCAAGATCCCAACAGGTGTAATAAATATTAGGATAATGTGGAGTGTAGTCTCAGAAAGGGTCTCCTCTAATTAGCTTCTAATGGGAGAAATGAGGCAATCGTGCACCGACTGAGAGAAGGCATAGTCTGACTGCTTTCACGTGTGGTTGCTCAGAGTCCTGAGCCTTGCTGGCTGAGTTGCTATGAGCTGACAGGAGTCTGAGCACAGCCAGTCAGTTGACCATCTGGACACATATGCCAGGCCATTGTGCCCTGGCCCTGAGCTGCCTGCTTCTCGACTGCTTAGAGGGTCCCTGATCGGTTGTGCAGTTCTCCTGGTCCCCATTTTGCACATGGTCCTCACAGAACATCCTTCCACAGTACCTCACACCCCATTCCTAGACAAGAGTCTGGTCATGTGGAAATGAAGGCGAGTAAGAAAAGTGAGGGTTAATTGCAGTTTGTTGCCCTTCAGCAGGAAGGCGTAATGAGCTTATGTTGATCATGTTAGGTATCTAGTTAGCATAATCGAGAGAGCTGATGTTCCCAAAGAACCTGGCACCTGACAAAATCTAAAGCTAAAATGATGTTTGTTTATAAGCCATTAGAAGAAAAGAAACATAATTAGAAATCTTTGAGATTACAGTCATGCCAATCAATCAGTTCTAGCTTCTTTCTAGTATACCCTAATTACCTCATCAAGACATCTAAAGAGCAATCGATAGTAATTATCTGATTACTATAGATCTTCATTATGTCCAAATTATCTCCCTGGGATGTCTAAAAGAAGATGCATTGTATTCTGGGAGGTAATTGTACCCAACAACGTATAATCCACACCCCATTCCCACAATCAACATAGATTACCAGAGAACATGGAGCACATTTTGTGTTTGCTTTTCAGGGAGGAACACTGATAAAAACCTAAACTGCTTACTGACCATGACCTTGAAGTAAAATATCTAGTAATACCATGTTTTGTGTGCAGAGTCTAGACTGGAGTCAGACTAAGAATAAATCTCAGTCCTTCATTTCTTTAGCAATGATCTCAAATTTATAGTTCAGAGGTCTCCTTAGCAGCAAAAGGGACCTAGATGGCTGGATCCTTCATCTGATAGAAACTACAAAGTAAAGTACCCTGTTAAAGTCAATTGAGCTGAAGAACATACTCTTTCCATAGGCTTAAGTTTTCTTTCCTCCCACTAATGGCAGTGGCACAAAACGAATGCAGAACTGCAAGGAACCTGACATTTCCCTGCCCTTCAATTGGACATGAGCCCTGGAGAAAGATAAATTACCCTTTCATGATGCATCCATGCTTACACCAGAGGTCTCTAAACATTTGCATGTGCCCATCAGTCAAAAACTGGAGCATATACTTCAGATATGCTTATTTGTAAATATATATAGCTAAATATATCACTATTTAAATATGACATCATTTACAACAAATCAAAATTATGACCTGGGATAAACATCGAAGAATTAATTCCTTTTTTTTGCTCCAAAGTTTCCCTGGGCCTGGGACATATGTCTTTACTTGGGAACTGCTGTCCTTTTAGTGTAACCTTGGGAGAAATATGCACAGGGGTAAATGCTTCAGTAAGAAGTGTCCTCACCAGACTTAAGATTGGCATTCCTCTGATAAGTAAAAACAAAAACAAAACAAAACAAAACAAAAAAAAAACTATCATCACATTCAGTGTGCTCAATATCAAAGAAACAGAAAATTAAGAAGAAAACAATGAAAACACATATTAAAGATTTTATGTCAATTCATAGAACAACTAACTCTCTAGATGAAGAAACAAAACTAATGAACCGACAAAACAGATATAAACAAACTCTCAGACTATAAGAACAAAATGGAGGGGATCAGAAGGGAGGCAGGAAGGGGATGGGTAAGTGGATTAATTTTATGGAGAAGAATGGAATTGGATTTAAGAGTGAAATTGAGTAGGACACATACATGTTGACTTACAATGCTGTACATCTGAAAACTATTTAGGGTTATGCATTATGTTACTTTAATTTAAAAAATATCCTTAGAAACTAAAATCATCCAAAATTACATGTGAGAAGATGATAGCTTGCCATATATATTAAACCACATTTATAAATTTTGTTAGAGAGTAAAGAAGCAGCCTGCTTTATTGTCTTCGGATCAGGCTTTGATCCATATTACTATGGTTTAGGTTTCATAAGTTCATAAGTTTCATAAGTTTCATATGTTATAGCAGATCTCAGTTAAAAATATGCTATAGTTGGCCCTCCCTGGTGGTGCAGAGGGTTAAAGCACAGCATCAAGAAGCTAAAGCCACTTCCACATGAGTTCGATCCCCGCTTGCCCAGGAGGTGACCACATGGTGCGGCAGACCTCTCCTGGCCTGCCCTCTGCCTCTTAGCAGTGTAGTTAGACAATCTGCCTGTTCTGTTCCCCACTCTGTCTCTGGTGAATCCTGGTGAATCCTCTCACCGCCCCGCACCTCTGGCCTGTACCCCAGTTCTGTATGCACAAATAAATAAATCTTTTTTAAAAATGCTGTACTTTGTATTTAAAAAAATGTGATATTCTGAATTCCTTCCACATGAAATCATTTTGGTTATCACACATATGATACAGATAAGAAAACAAAAACAGAGCCTTCCTGGTGGCACAGGGGTTAAAGTGTCAGCACTAAAAAACTATTGCCAGCCACTCTGGTATGGGTTTGATCCCAGGCCAGGAAGATGACCCACATGGTGCAGCAGACCTCTCCTGTCTCACCACCTCAGTAGAACAACCTGTTCTGCTCCCAACTGTGTTTCTAGTGAATCTCCTCACTTCAACCCCTCTGGCCTACACTCCAATTCTTGTATACATAAATAGAACAAATAAATCTTTAAGAAAACAAACCATAACAGGTGTGTGAGTTGTTAAGAAATGCTTTCAGCTCAGTGTCTGCCTCCTCCTAATCTTTTGTGTGAGTTTGTTCAAATCCAAGAGCCACATCAGAGTCTCAGATACAAAAAGTCTCCATTCCTGCCTCAAACTGGTCAGAGTCTGGGAGGTTGGGAGGACACTGGTATATACACATGAAACCGCTGAACATCCTGTCCTCCACTGCATGTAAGCTTCCAGAATAGCTTCTTTTGGATCACAACACTACTATCATTTCACACATTTAAGAATAAGAGCAAAATATATTTAAGGTCAAAAGAGTTAGAAAGATTGAAGGAAAATATTAAGACCTTGGAACTAAATGCCATAATAGGAATTGGGATCATCTAGCTCTTTGTCCTTAGAAATATAAATGTCACCTTCCTTTGCAAAGCTTGTCCTCCCTCCTGGCAGTGTCCCACCTCAGTGCCTGGTCTCGACTCAGGGTGAAGCTACCTGTTGTTTGATGATAGTCTATGAGCTTCTGCTTCTAGGAGAGGAGTCACCTCTTGACTTCCTGTGTCAGTTTTATCTTTACTTTCTTTGTCTTGTAAAGACTCTTAGCAGGCTGGCTTATGGAGGCAGAGTCTCTCCCTGCCTGGAAACAAGCACAGGAGCCCACTCCTGATGTCGCCAGGAGCAGAC